ATTGTGGTAACACAGTAATTTAGTAAGGTATATAAATTAGTTAAGATAAAAAGATGTAAAGTAGAACTCGTCAAAGTAATAGTCGGAAAAGGAAAATATGTAATGCAAAAGAAGGTATAAAATATGTAAAAAAGGAAAAGTAAAAAAAAAGGAAGGTGAGGCAGCTGCAGTGACGAATGACGTGTGTGAGAGATCCTAGTGAGTCTGGTTCAAGAGAATGTAAAGGTAGATAAATAGAGCAGACTAGAAAGACGCAATACTGTATGCATCCATATATATCGAACGAATGGCCAACTTCTCAAAATCTTCGGTTGGTGGTTTTTCAGTCACAAAATTTTGAATGAATTAAAATCTGAGTCAGAGACAAGTATGTGAGTTAACTTTGGACTGTGGGGTCCAACAGTATGTTCGCTGTAGCCTGCAGGTTTTCGTAGTTTTGGAACGGACAAACAGGATATAGCAACAGTAAGTTTCTGCGCAAGCTAATTGAAAAAATAAAATCAGTGGATCGTTGCAAGTCTGAGCTGAACCCAAAAAATGGATAGAATAGAGGTCAAAAAGTCAACCCTTCCCAACCATACACGTACTTTCTACGAGAGAAAGGCCGCGAGAAAGTTGCTTGAGTGGCAGCAAACAAAACAACCATCCGTTGGTGAGGCTGCCGATGACTCTTTCTTTCGAGAAGTGATTAGAAGCAAGTTAGGTAATACATGACTGTGTGAAATGCAAAATTGCTGTGAATTTTTTAAATCGAAACCCACCTTTTCCTGAATGGACTGTGCGTTTATGCATTGTCAAGTGAGAAGCGGAGCCAAACAATTTATTGCAGTCCTGGCATTTGTGTAATTCATGCTTCGATAAGTGTTCTATATAGTGGCGAGAAAGCATAATACGGCTTTTCATTTCACGTCTACAATGAAGCCAGTTGCAACGGTATTCTCCTTCCTTGTTGTGACTTCCAAGATGTTTCGTGAAAGGACTGAAAGATTTGAATTTTCGCCTGCAATTTGCACAAATTAGCCTTGCAGAGCAAGATATTTCACTGCCTGATGATGACGATTCTGCATCGGATGCTGTTGAATTTTGAGTTAGAAGCCTGTGTGTATCCGACATGTTTAACCCATCAATTTTCACGCGTTTTACTTCCAATGTCTTTAATTTGCGGTAGGTAAGAATCAGGCTTTCGAGCGTTTCCGACACATTGTTACCAGTGCAGCTTCTAGACAACTTTGACTGCAGACTACATTCTGTTGAATTTTCGGAAAGCAAGTTTGTTTTGGTCTGGTCATCGGCAATGTCTTGCTGAGCATTTGAGCCGAACTGAAAGTGACCTTTGGCATGGTTTTGCATGGAATCTACGTCTGATCCAAAATCGTCAGTGGTAGAAATTTGCGAGGGAAACAGACTTGCTGCCACTTCAGTATTAGTGAAGATTTGTGAGGGAAATGAATCTGCTCGAATTGAAATAGGAGAGTTGCCGGTGGGGAGTTGCTTGGAAAGTGAGTCTATTCCAACTTCAACACCAGTGGTGATTTGTGATGAAACTGGACCTGGTTCAACTTCACCACAAGAGGCTTGCAATAAAAGTGGATTTTGTTCAAGTTCAGTATCAATGAAGATCTGTGCGGAAAGTGAATCTAATTCACCTTCGGTGTCAGTGGGAATTTTCCTGGAAAATAGAACTGAATCAGTTTCGTCACCGGCAGATGTTTGCGAAAAAAATGCATGGAATCCAAGTTCATCATCGCATGAACCTTGTTGCGAATATACCGTTGTTCCAGACTTTTCATCAGTGAAGAAAACTAATGGAAAATTTTCCGTTGCTAAGGCATTTTTGGATAATTTTGTGGAATCGGTGAGTTCCAGCTCTGTTCCGTAAATTTGGCTTGGCGCAATGTGCTGTGGAAATTTACTTTCCTGGTTGCTTTCCACGTATTGTTGCTTCATCACAGTAGTCGGTTGTAGCTCTTTAGGTTGAAGAGATCCAGAATTTGAAGCTTCTACCTTTTCCGGTGTTGAATCCCCTGAGACGGTGTAGCGAGCACAATCATCGAAGCTTGCAGGTGGATTTTGCGCCGTCGGTGTAACGCCGCAGACTTCATCAGATGGAGAGGTAAGGTCGGTCAGAACAATTTCATTGGCATTTTGCCCTTCTTGTGTTCTCCTGTCTGAGCTGAAATTTCGATGGAAATCTGATTCCGCATTGGACGACAGAGCCAAAATTATCGTTTCAATCTCTTTTGTCGGCAGCTCTTGAAAAAGCTGTGCACAGTGCCTGAAAATCCATTCTTCTTCAAATGCGGTTGCCGAAAATTCTGTGCAGCCAAATTCTTCAGTAACCTGCTGTGCATCTGAAATGCGGCATAAGCTTAGATCCGGAGCGCAGTCCGATTCTTCGTTGCTGGATGATAAGCTCAAATTACAGGTTCCATCTTGTTCAATTTGCCAATCTCCCCTGAACTGCTGCAACTGATGGCTGGCGTAGTTTTTTTCAGGTTTAGCAAGTGGATCCACGAATTTCATTTCTTTAAAACCGTGTCCTATGCCTGGTGTCCAGCTTGGGCTTGGGTTTAAACGCGAGTCTGTTCCTCCAGTATTAATTGGCAGGAACGGATTCGTAATTTGTCCCTGACCGGTCAGCCATTTTTCGTTGAACTCTTCCAGCTGTCGAAAAAGGGAGTTTTTTTCAAGTTCATTTGGCGAATCCATAAACTTCGGTTCCTTAATATTGTGCCCCGTGCATGTAGTACGGCGTAGGCTTGGGTTGCTTGGGTTTATACTAGAATCTCTTCTCCCACTGTTATCCGGTAGGACCGAATTCGTAACTTCGTTCTGTCCAACGAATTGTTCCAGCTGGAAAAGCAAATTGCTTTTTTCAGGATTCTCTGACGAGACTGTAGCTTCAACTTGTTTGAAGTTCTCTGTGCCTATCTGCCTATATAAGTTTGGAGCTCTACTATAGTCTATTTCGCCACTGTTAAATAGTGAGACTGGAGTCAAAGTTTCATGTTCGCCGGTTATCCGTCTTCCTCCGGCAAATCGTTTTGACTGATAAGGGGTGAAAATATTTCCAAATTCGTCTGCTTGATTTGTGGCCACGGCGCTTGGTCTCAAGCATGGACTTGAATAGAGCCCAATATTTGTTTCTTTGCTGTTGATGGCTGGAGACGAATCTGAAGCTTGACTTCCCTCGGTCAGCCGTTTTCCAGTGAACTCTTCCAACCACTGACAGAAGTTGATTTCGTCAGTTTCAGCTGGCGGATCAACACTATCAATTTTTTGGGCACCTTTCCTTCTGCCTGATCTCCGGTGCAAATTTGAACCTGAGCCGGAAGCTAATTCTTTGCCTTCAGTTAGCATCACGGACAGCCATCCTCCACTGAGCTGGCTGTAATTGGAACTTCCTGCTTCTCCATCTTTGTCCGAAGAGTCAGTTTCATCATTTTCTATAGATTCCACATCTGATTCCAGAGCTAGGCCTTTCGTAGAAGCATTCAGTTGAACGCTGTCTGAAGTCATCCTGGTTGGGTCAAGCGAACTTGTTCCGGCCGTCGACTGATCAGCTGGATCTCTCTCATGATAGATTTGAGTTGAAAATTGAAAGAAATAGACAAGAAGAGTATAGGCAACAGGTGGCATGAAACGTGGTTTGATGCCACTGACTGTCATCGAGGATGAATAATCCAACAGATCAGTTGCATTAATTTCATATAGTTTTGCCGAGAGACAGGGCAGATTGGTGTTTAGCGTTTAAGCCAGAATCGATGGTGCATATGCAAATAGCTGCTACAGGACGGCTTTTAGCAACACAAAATTTTTCTCTTTGAAGAAATTTTACGGATTAATTTGGCCAAGCAGAAAAGTTTTGGGCCAGCAAAATTTTCCTTAAAATATTCTTTTTAGTGCACATCCTTAAAGATGATTTTGATAGCATTTTTTCCGTAATTTGAACTGCAGTAAGCAAGAGCAAAGTCTCTGGAATGAGGGCAGCCAAGCTCTTACCTAGAAGGAGTAATTGTAAAGTTAAATGAAGAAGTAATAAGAAAGGTCAAAGATTATTTTGTTGAATTGAAGTGGAGGAAAGGTACAAATTGAACTGAATTTTGATGCTAGGAAATGATGACACTGCAGACCCACTGGGTAGGCAAGGAGAAATAAATGACTGCACGTTTTTGCAATAACCTGTTGTAAACGCCTAATTGGTTATTGTGCCAGTGCACACAGAATCCTGTCATAATTTGTTTTTCAGCTCATAAAAAGCATAAAACCTTAAGTAATCTTTGGTTACTTCTAGTATTTGCTACTTGTGGAAAATTTCTGAGTGGTTCCGCTTCGTTATAAGGCGTAACTGCGAAAGGGACAAGGGAGTTTGATTTTTGATATTGTTTCAACAATTTAAAATTCAAGTATTTACTGGCATACAATCATCAAAAAATCCTAGAAGCTGAATTTCATTAATTTACCCCTCTTCTTCAAGTGGGTCAAATAGAAGCTCAAGAAGTTCGAAATCTAGCTTCATTTATTTTAAGTACGTAGAACTGGTTAAGACTTAGATTGAGATCATAAACTAATATGTAGTAGTAAGATTTGGAAACTATTTGCTTAGAATTATTACGTAAATTCACACTTCAAAATTTCCGGTCAATAGTTTCGTATTTTCTCGATTTAAACGACTGACTAGAGTTTGCTCTCCAGTTCGCAGTTAAAAATGTGCTCCCTAGATACAGTCCACTGTAAGACCCAAAAATATGTGCATGACTTTCTGGAGCGAAACTGTGCAAATGAACAGACATATGTGTAAACAAGCTGTCATCATTGTTTTTTATTTCCCCATACCATTTATGCAAAGCTACTTAGAAAATTGATCTGATCTCACTTAAGCCTAAATTTTTGAAACTATGCAGTGTACCGGACAAAAATCAAAGCCCTCTCCATCAGTTAGCAAAGCTATCGGTGACTGTCTTTCGAGAGTTGCTCAAAATCAGGCTGATGTCAGTTTTGACTCTTTGATGCTAGCTAGTACCAATTTAACACATTTGTTATGAAATTTTTAACTTTATATTAGTTGTTTAGCAGCGTGATAGCGGACGTTACACATGCAGTGCTGTAAACGAAGCTGGGACATTAAATACAAATTATGAACTTGAAATCATCGGTAAGGTCGTCGTTTTTGCTATCTCCTACAATGTATTCCGCGATTTTTCAAAAAATTGGAAAAATTGTCTCAAACATTCAACCTTTTGTATTTTGACCTTTACTGCTCTGATAAAAGTGGGAAGGAACTGAAAAAGGGGAACACGTGAAGAAAAGTAAGACACTTTGTAACATAAACACAATCAGCTGACAAGGTATTCTTTTTGCGAGACACAGACATATGAACTCTGTTAGGATTTTAAAATTTGCATTTGTTAATGGTTGGAAATCTATGAAGCTAAAACGAGTTCTGGCCGAGTTCCTAGATTGATTTTTTCGAACAAATAAATCCGAATTCATAAAAGAATAATGTTTCGCGATTCATCATGCGAAAGAGTAAAACCTGCCTCCAATATTCCCCAAACATTCCTCGGTAAAAATAAACGGTTTATATTTGTCATAGCTAATAGCTCTTCTTAGAGAAGTGTAGGAATCCTTTTTGTATCTGGGTTCCTCCACTGTTCGCAGCGAGTGATTTGAAAAATTTTAATATAAAACGTTTCGTGGTTTAGTTTGCAGCATTAGTGTCGCGGACGAGGAGTGGTCAGCTTTCAAACTTTTCTATCACCGCACAAATAAAACAGATGCAAATTTGATCTGGTATTGTAATTGTAGTTGAAAAATATGCCTGCCGTACGACTAGGAAGTAAGACTGTGAATTAATCCAAGCATTTCAAGTATTATATTTCACTTACGAGGAATACCCTCTCTCTCTCCTACCAACACCTTTTCCCTTTATTCTTTTGTTACACCACTTGTTTGTTGGCCCCAAACTCAGAAAAGAAAGATGATGAAAAAAAAATTGAAAAGCACATTTTGCAGGCCCACCAAAGTTCCATCGTCGTGGGGAGGCAGTTTATGAAGTAATTGTTGGTAAAACGGTAACAATGGATTGTGACGTTGAAGCAGAGCCGAAACCGGAAATTCACTGGTTTCGTGGTGATGCACCGATTTATCTTACCGAAAATATACACATTTCACCAGATGGACAGGTTATTTAAAAACTGCTTTTGAGTTCCAGGATTGGAACATAAGTTTTTATGCGCTTTTGCTATGCGCTATAGCGCTGCTACAGCCAGCAAGAACGCATACTGTTGAGAGTTTTTGTGTGTGTGTGTGTGTGTGCGTGTGTGTGTGTGCGTGTGTGTGTGTGCGTTTGTGTGCGTGTGTGTGTGTGTGCATTCTGTCATCCACTTTCATCTTAGCAAACAGGAAAGCTGGGAGGCTGAAAGTTGGGTATGTGATACGTGATCCTACCCCGTGTATCATCCTCCCGTTTTAAGATCTTTCCCCATACGCGCCCAGATCTCGCATGCGGGACCCCCAAAGAAATATGTTGGCGGGGAACGATGTCGCGAACCAGGCAAGGTAGACAGCTGAAAATTTGCAGGGATACTATCTACGCATGCGCGAGCTAAAAATTTTAAACTCTGCTGTCAAGCACCCCAACCACAGCTTCAGGCAGCTCCTCAACCTAAAAATCGTTAAGAAATCCATCGCAACCCGGGCCCGAACCCAGTCGTATATGTAAATGAACATTAGTTAATTTGCATACATGGATTTTT